TAGTTATGATAAAACATAGCAGATGTGATGTCTCAACATATAATTTTAAGGATAGTCAATATTAACAACTGAACTTGTTCTAATACTACGTAAAAGAAAATTATCAACCAAAAAGTACAAGGACCTTAAGAAAAACACAAGCATAAGGCTGTTTGTAGTTGGATGTTCTTTCAATTAGATTGTTCTTTTTTATTTTATTCTTTTTTATGTTGGGTTGATAAGTTGATTGTTGTTTATGATCTTTATCATGCTTTTGAAAGTTGATGTTATTTTTGCTTACCGTATTAAATTAGTTTTTTCTTTTACTATTTATATGGGTATAATTGTTTTCCTCCATATGTTCATTTGATCAATGTATTTTCAATTGTGTTCTTTACTCCATGTGTCTCTAAATAATTGACACAATCAAACTGTGCATACATGTCGATATACAAGTTTGATTTTATTTTATTTTTATACACAATCGAACTCCTTTGAAGAAGAAGTTCCAGCCAATATATCTCAATGCTCGAAACTAGAGACACTTTGTCTTGGAAATAACCATTTAACAGGAAGCATTCCTCGTGAACTTAGCCGTCTGTCAAACTTGAATAACTTGTTACTGCACGAAAATCGATTCACAGGGGACCTCCTTAATACAGTTGTAACGAACATGACTTCGTTAAGCTTGTTGTCTGCAGCTGTCAATTCTTTTGAAGGAAGCATCCCTGACAACATTGGAAGTGTTTTAACAAATTTAGTTTACATCAGTCTTGCACAAAATGAGATTTCAGGTACTATTCCTTCGTCGTTTTACAACCTTTCATCTCTCTATGTTGTTGATTTGGACCTTAATAGACTAGAAGGCACTCTTCCATTCGATATTGGGTTTCGACTTCCTCAGCTTAAATACTTTAAAATAAGTGGAAACTTTTTCCATGGAACTCTTCCTCTGTCTCTTTCTAACCTTACTCAGCTTAAAGGTCTTGCACTTTATTCTTAGATTCCTAGATATCTCCTTACTCATCTGGGGATGGGAGAACCTGATGATCTGAGTTTTGTACAAACTCTTGTTAACTGTAGTCAGTTAAGTGTGTTAGAATGTGGTTCTAACAGATTTGGTGGGAGTCTGCCGCGCTTTCTTGGTAATCTGTCAACAGAAATTACTGTGATTGATTTTCAACAAAACAAAATAACTGGAACCATTCCAACTGAATTGTTCAACCTCATTAACTTACAAAGACTAGGATTGTTAGACAATGAACTAACAGGACATCTTCCACTTGAGATTGAAAATCTTAGCAAATTAGAAGTCTTTTCCTGTAGTAACAATCACCTCATTGGAGATATTCCTTATTCATTAGGAAATTTATCGCGGTTGAGTGGGTTATATATGCATAACAATAGCTTTGAAGGAGCTATTCCCTCGAGTATAGGAGAGTGCACATATTTATTATACTTGTCACTTTCAGAAAACAACCTCAGTGGGCCTGTATCTTCTCATCTGTTCCATGCTTCAATGTTATCCGAACTTTATTTGGATCAAAATCATCTGCAAGGAGTCTTCCCTGTGGAGATTTGTCAGTTGAGGAATTTAGTGGTGTTAGACATAACAAGAAACGCGTTCTCAGGAAAGGTTCCATCTAGCCTTGCTAGTTGCATTGACCTTCTTGAACTTCAAATGGGAGAAAACTTCTTTACTGGTTCGATTCCTCAATCTTTCCAGTATCTAACTAGTATCCAGCACTTGAATTTATCTCATAACAGACTGTCAGGCCAAATTCCGGATTTCTTGTCTAATTTTTCATTACTAGGATTAGATGTATCTTTTAATAATTTAGAGGGAGAGGTTCCGAGAAGAGGAGTTTTCACAAATATAAGTGCTGTGACAACTTTGGGAAATAAAAAGCTTTGTGGAGGGATTCCTGAGATTCATTTGCCAAAATGTTCAACCAATACTACCTTGGCAAGAGGGTCTAAAAGGAGGGGTAGACTCTCTGTTGCTGTGACCCTGATTATCGCGGTAGCTTCATTAGTTGTTGGTGTGTCGATAATCTCAGCAATATATTTCCTGATGTGTATTAGGAATAAAAAGAACAAGCTATCTCAGGGATCATTGTTGAACTTGAAGGAGCCTTTCTCAAAAGTATCTTATAATATGCTTCTGAAGGCAACTGACAGATTTTCGGAAGCAAACTTAATAGGTGCAGGCGGTTTTGGTTCTGTTTATAAAGGAGTCCTTGATCCAGAAAACAGCATGGTTGTAGCCATTAAGGTTATCAGCCTTGAACAGAAAGGAGCGAGGAAGAGTTTCATGGCAGAGTGTGAAGCATTGAAAAATATCCGTCATAGGAACCTGCTTAAGATTGTCACTGCTTGCTCGAGTACTGACTTCCAAGGGAATGATTTTAAGGCATTAATTTACGAGTTCATGCCAAATGGAAACCTTAGACAATGGATTCACATTGAACAACATACGAAACCTCTAAGCCTCCTCCAAAGATTGAAAATTGCCATCGATGTTGCTTGTGCACTTGATTATCTGCACAACAGTTGTGATGTTCCTATAATCCATTGTGACCTCAAACCAAGCAACATTCTTCTTGACAGTGACATGGTTGCCCATGTTGGAGACTTCGGGTTAGCTACATTTCACTCGGACGCAAGGACTTATAATAGCAATTCAGTTGCAGTTAAAGGGACAATTGGATATGCTGCTCCAGGTAACTACACTACTTCTTTTAAGGCCATTCTGTTTAATTTAGGCGAAAAAAGAGTTTTGATGTGCAAATTACTTCACTAGAGTAAAAATCAGTAAAGGAAAACTTAGCATTTTTCAGAAGTTATTATTATTATTTTTACTGATCTGACTTTTGAAACATTCTGTTTTGGATAGAGTATGGCCTAGGAAGTGTGGTATCAAAGGAAGGTGACATGTACAGCTATGGCATCTTGTTGATAGAAATGATGAGCACTATATATTCCACAAATAGGATGTTCGAGGGAGATTTAGACCTTCATAAGTATGCAAAATCAGCATTGTCTGACCAATTAACAGAGATTATCGACCCAAAGCTTTTTGATGATAATGTTGTTGCAAGCAGTGGAAGTCAATATGTAGCTTTGGCACGATATGACTGTTATGTTAAATGTGTATGGTCTGTCATTGACATCGGCGTGAAGTGTTCTGTGGAATCACCTCAAGATCGAATGAGAATCGAGGATACCATTAGAGGGCTAAAAATAACACAGGAGATGTTCCTAAAAGAGCTAAGCGTCGTTGAAGCAATGCATTTTTAAGGTTTCTATGCTGCACTTGTTGAAATTTTAGGCTCTTACAGTCTGCAGGAATATGTGCTAGGTAGCTGAAAGATATGAGGCTCTTACATACAAAAATGTTAAAATAGAATTATGTGGAGATATGATAATTATGTAATGTTATGATTTGCATAGGATAGAATATAGCATTATTTGATCTTAGCCAGAATATTTCCTAAGGTCATCATATCTTTGTACTCTATTTATAGTCTTTGCCATCACAACAATGAATCGTTTTGCCTCACAATAACAAAGCTCAAAGTGTTCTTGTTCTCAATTATAAACTTTGTTACTTAACAATTTAAGGATGTTTTTCTGATACTTTCTAGTTTTACAAGGCTAAAATTGATTTAAGATTTTCTTTCCAAGTTTTCTGAGATCAGAATTGGCCCTTAGGGGAAAAAAAAACACTACATCTGATCTTAAAAAAGATACAGAATAATATGTTTCTTTTCTCCGTTTTTATTTAGCTGCGACAGTTTAACTTTTACACTATTCATGCACTCATTAATATAGAAATAAAATGGACACTAAAGTCAGATGTATTAAGTAGTCTTGCCAACAGAAAGAACATATGTAATAATTAAGGACTCGTTTTTATGTTGGGTTGATAAGTTGATTGTTGTTTATGATCTTTGTCATGCTTTTGAAAGTTGATGTCATTTTTGCTTACCGTATTAAATTAGTTTTTTCTTTTACTATTTATACAGGTATAATTGTTTTCCTCCATATGTTCATTTGATCAATGTATTTTCAATTGTGTTTTTTACTCCATGTGTCTCTAAATAATTGACACAATCAAACTGTGCATACATGCCGGTATGCAAGTTTGATTTTATTTTTATATAAATAAATATTAATAAAAGTTATTAAAAAAATTATATTATAAAACTTTAAATCAATACCTATCTAACAATATATTTCATGATAAATATGCATTTATTACGTTAGTAAAAAATTATAGTCAAAGTTAATGTATGAATAGGAAAAAAAAAAAAAAAAAAAAAAAGATCAACGTGTCAATTATATTGTTCCATTATATTGTTGGTAAAGCATGATGTAGCAGTTCAGTGAGATTAGTAGTGCCTGAACTTTACCTGAGGTATGATTGCACAAAGAAGGTTGCACGGCCTGGGTCTTCTTCAGGTATGAACATATCCGAGCTGAGTCCCGAGCGCCCTAACCTATATATTAGCTTCTCTATATGTTTATGGCTCTGCAAGTTGATGCATAATCTATATATGACGGTAGACCTTTTCAAGTTGGTTTTTTTGTTCCTTCTTCTTTTCCTGTTTGTTTGGTGTTGACTGTTTTTTGGTGGCTGCAGATGCTACATTAAGCTGTTCGATGCCCCCTCCAAGTCAGCAACTGAAGAAGATGAGGAGATGTCAAAATTGCTTCCTGCTCAGAAAAAGAAAATGAGGCAAAAGCAGAGGAAGGCAGAAGCCCGAGCTAAGAAAGTACGTGTCATTTTCTTAATGATGATCGTGGATCCTTCCTGTCCATTGAATGTCAATCTAATTTCTGCCTAATTTCAGGAGGCAGAAAGTAAAAATGAGGAAGCAACTGCAAGCAATGTCTCGAAATCTGGAAAAAAACATGTTAAAGCAGTGGATCCTGATCCTCATGGAGAGAAACTTTTGCAGGCTTTGATAATTTTTTTTTTTTAATTTTTTTTTAATATTTTAATTTTTTAATTTTATGTTTGTTTGTTTTTTTGTTTGAAGGCTGTAAAGAATTTGTTGAGGTTGGATGCTGAAAACCCAGATTCACATCGCTGTTTGGTATGCTCTTTTCTCATTCTGTTTGGCTGTTCCTTTCATTTTCCATATCATGGTTTGTGTCGGTGGGTGTCTTTGTCCTTCTGATTATCGGATTGGTTGAGTGCTGAAGTTTTTTGCTTAATTACAGGTAAGATTTTTCAACAAGGTGAGCTCTATGCCTGCTCCTGCCTCTGATGCCGAGCAGCTTGTCTGGAATGTCTTAGAAGCAGAGCGTCAATCTATAAGGTTTCTAAGTTGTTTGTATTGCCGTATATAAGTTCTTTCAATTTATCCTTATTCGTTCTAATTGCTTCATTGCTTTCTAATGCAGTCAAGTGCATGAAAAATCTCTGATGGATGCAAACATGTCGTTCTTGACGAAGCATAAAGGTGCTTTCTTGGAAATATTTGGCTCTTGCTCTCGTTTCCTGTGTTTTGGACCTTTTGGCAATATGTTCTGACATCTATTATACTGCAGATTCCTTGATGCACAGAGCAGCAGTTGCAGAAATGCTTTGTCTTTTGGATCCAAGTAAAAAGTCTGAGGCTGTTAAGTTGATTGAAGAATCATCAGATGACGTGTTTTCGATGTAATATGATCTCATCTGATATTATAAATGCTGTTTTGAGTGCCAATATTATTCTCTCAATCTCAATTAACTCGCTCCATTTGAATTTTCAAAGTTAAACTCGTGAATTTTTGATTATATGTTTTCTTTCACTGCCAGATAAGAAAAAGCATTATCACGTGTGATCTTGTTAGATTTGTTTCAATGTAAACTTTTAATTACTATTTTTATCATTTCATGTGTGTTAAAAGACCGTGAAGCAGATAACATAATTTGAAATGAAGGGAGTACTGTTTTTGATCTTTCTATGCTGATGTTGAAACTTAATATTCTTACAGAAAAATGGAGCTTTCGGCCGTGTTGGGCAGTGGAAGCTTAAGGACTGTGTTGCCGTTCACAAACTCTTGGAAAGTGTTTTGGTTGATAATGATGCTGCATCCAGTAAGTATTTTGTGGCCTTTCTAGTATTATTGCCTGTCTTGACAAAAAGTAAATTGACTGTATTGGCAAATTTTTCATGAGCAGTTTTGTAAAGAATCTTGGTGAATTTTGTCTACTGGAAACATGCTTGATCTGCTGCTTTAACAGTTACCACTGTGATGCTATTCTTACTAAAACTTTATAGGCTAGGTCCTCTAGTCAATAGCTGTAAGCTCTGTGCCGTCTGATTTGGGCAAAATTTTTACTTAAACTAGGTTAGATTTCGTGCCATTCACGATAATTTTCAATAACTATTCTTTAATTAACACTATATTTAATTATAAAAAGTTAAATCCATTAAGTTATTACTTCATAAAATTAATTTGTTATGAAAGAGTCTATTATTACCAAAATAGATATTGTAAAATACGCATGTATGTATATTTATATATATTTTCTTCTTGTTAACCAAATGAATATCTTAACAATATGTATTTAACCCGTAAATGGATTCATCTTTCTTCTGATTCGGGTCTGGTTGGGATATGTGTATTGTCAATTAGCTGTCACATTAATTTTTGTGCTAGGCCGGGTTGGAATATTGTGGGTTTGGCACATGCGTACAGTTCTGGTTTGTGTAGGGATATTTGGATTATCTTTTCAAGTCAGTTTTTCCACAGGCGTCACATATCTGTACATGTGTAACCTAATTTATCATCTCGTGAAGTCGTGAGCTTAGATTTTTTGCCTGTCACGGGGTATGAGTTGAATGTGACTGATTGTTTTTATTTTCGTGGTCAAATTTATTAATCTTCAACATGCTATCTAAATCTTGCAGGATGGAAGACACGATGTGCCGAATTTTTTCCTCATTCTGTGTATTTTGAAGGCTGCAAGAGCTCTGCTGTCTCAAATGCCTGTTTAAACATGACTTGGGTCAGAATGTCGGAGAGGAAAAGGGGGTCGTGTTCCCGTGGAGTCAAAGACAATCTATTCCCGGCTGATTTGCATGTCATACTCAGGTTATTGAACCATCAGAAGAAGGTCCGGGCTCTCATGTGCGAGTCATGCACCACACAATTATCAATGTGCTTTGCAAATGTGTATAATTAGGTCCATTATGACTAGGATTTTTTCATTTTTTGCCCCTCAAGATGTGCTTTCAATGAGATCCTTGCTTTTGGGTTATGATGATGATTGCATACTCCACATTTGGAGTTTGATTCTTCTTTTCAAGGAACTCGGGAGGGTTACAGGAGTTTTTGGATTACAGGGTTCCTTTTTGTGATCAAAGAATAGATGGAGATGAACTGCTCCAAATTGTTGTATTGCTTTTCAGATATTCTAAATTATCTTTTTTGTATAAACGCCAATCCATGTGAAAAATTTTGGTCAATTCTATAATCTTAGTAGAATTCTTATTTAGGTTTGTGCTTGTTTCATGCCTTTTTCACTGGCGGTTGTTGCATTCGGCTTTCTTCATTAGTCGTACTAGCTAATTATTCATATTAGTTATAAGCTCAATCTTCTTCTGCTTGAACGCCTTAATTTCATTAGTGGGCTGGTTACATGAACCAAAATGAGGACTTTCCATGAGGTCACCCATCCTAATACTACTCTCATTGTGGCTTAAATGATGTGACAAAGTTTTACATTGGTTGTCACTGATCTACCGTAACAACCCTCCTTTATCCACCTGACAGTGGGTTTCCCACTGGCGGAGTTAATTCAATCATATTAGTAAAAAAAGGATATTTTCTTGCTGAGCCCCTTAGTCTTCTTTTGAGGTTAGTTAGTACTTTTTCCATTTCTTTTTAGTTGACATGTTTCAATAGTCACGTTTGTCAATGCATAATTTCAACCAGTAATATCTTTAATTACCGATAAACAAAAATTATAAAAAGTGATATTTTAAAAATATATATAATGACAAATCTAACAAGATCTCACACAACTATATTTTTCATTACGTATAAATTACAAAACATGGTCAAAGGGGAGTGAGTGAATAGTGCTAAAGTCAAAACGTGTCAATTAAAAAGAAATGGAGGAAGTACAAAGTATAAGAAATATTTATTTATGGGTAATGATATAAACATTAAATATACTTCCTAAAATGGAATTAAGTTTGAAATTCATGACAAATTCACGTGCATATTGGTGTGATTATGTTAATCTATCCTCAATATTTCTTTTTTAACTTCTTATTCATAGCCCTAAGGGCTATATTTATCATTTTTCCGTATTTATATAGAAACATAACTTAATTAATGCCAATTTGAGATTAAATATGATAAATAATAAATAATTAACTAATGACAAATTGCGGAGCAAAAATATAAACTCCGTGTGGACTAACTAATATCAGAGATAAATTGAATATGATAAACTATTTCAATATTGGTCAAGCTTTACTATTTCAATAATTTACATTTTATAATTTTCAGTCGGTGCTTTCAAAGCTTGCTTTACTTATGTGCTGAAATTAAGAAATTTTCACTCTAAGTAAATCAACTATTTCAACTTAACTAGGCACTAATATTCAAAAGGTTCTGCTTTCCTCGAAATCTCACTGAAAGTCTCACACTTGGCAGCAAAACTTTATTGAATAGGAAAACAGTTCTTAGTTAAATACTGACCCAAACTATGCCCAATTTAAACGTCTATTTGTCATATCTACAGAGATAAATACTGACTAATAATCCAATTAGTCAGCCCATTCTACACGCCTACACAGTATTGCATCTAGAAATGTACAATAGTTACCCTAGTAGTCAAGAGTCAACACATCTCCACACATTATTGTATCAAGTATCAAGTAATTACCCTACAATTACTTAGCATTTCGTCTTTCCTTGAGATTGGGAGACCATAAAAATGAGTATTATGTAAGTTACCAGGATAACCGTATCCGTGTATGTATATATATATATTCATTAATTCATATAAAATCATATACTGATATATACTCAGAAACCAGGAATAACTCATCAAGTTATAGCAGTTAGCTGACCTGAAAGTCTGAAACCATATATCAGTCATGAATCTCATCTTCATAATTTTTTTCATGTTCTATTTCTGTTTGCCAAATTCATGCCTTACTTCTGCCAATTCTTCAGTAGACCGTCTCGCCCTCTTAGCGATCAAGTCTCAAATTACTAATGACCCTCAAGGTGTTCTGAACTCTTGGAACAGCACCATTTCCGTGTGTCAATGGCTCGGTGTAACTTGTGATGCAACACCTTCACAACGAGTCATTGGCTTACGACTTGTCTCCTACGGTTTAGTAGGAACCTTATCACCTTCTGTTGGAAACCTGAGTTTCCTTCAGAGTCTGAGTCTGTCTAATAATACTTTCCAAGGTCATATACCACCTCAAATTGGTCATCTTCTTAGTCTAAAGTCTCTAATTTTACAGTTGAACTCCTTTGAAGGAGAAGTTCCAGCCAATATATCTCAATGCTCGAAACTAGAGACACTTTGTCTTGGAAATAACCATTTAACAGGAAGCATTCCTCGTGAACTTAGCCGTCTGTCAAACTTGAATAACTTGTTACTGCACGAAAATCGATTCACAGGGGACCTCCTTAATACAGTTGTAACGAACATGACTTCGTTAAGCGTGTTGTCTGCAGCTGTCAATTCTTTTGAAGGAAGCATCCCTGACAACATTGGAAGTGTTTTAACAAATTTAGTTTACATCAGTCTTGCACAAAATGAGATTTCAGGTACTATTCCTTCGTCGTTTTACAACCTTTCATCTCTCTTTGTTGTTGATTTGGACCTTAATAGACTAGAAGGCACTCTTCCATTCGATATTGGGTTTCGACTTCCTCAGCTTGAATACTTTAAAATAAGTGGAAACTTTTTCCATGGAACTCTTCCTCTGTCTCTTTCTAACCTTACTCAGCTTCAAGTTCTAGCACTTTATTCTAACAATTTCAAAGGAAAATTCATGTTTAGTGCTCGAGACATGCCCTATCTTAGACAACTAGATATCACCTCTAACTATCTGGGGATGGGAGAACCTGATGATCTGAGTTTTGTACAAACTCTTGTTAACTGTAGTCAGTTAAGTATGTTAGAATGTGGTTTTAACAGATTTGGTGGGAGTCTGCCGCGCTTTCTTGGTAATCTGTCAACAGAAATTACTGTGATTGATTTTCAACAAAACAAAATAACTGGAACCATTCCAACTGAATTGTTCAACCTCATTAACTTACAAAGACTAGGATTGTTAGACAATGAACTAACAGGACATCTTCCACTTGAGATTGAAAATCTTAGCAAATTAGAAGTCTTTAACTGTAATAACAATCACCTCATTGGAGATATTCCTTATTCATTAGGAAATTTATCGCGGTTGAGTGGGTTACATATGGCTAACAATAGCTTTGAAGGAGCTATTCCCTCGAGTCTAGGAGAGTGCACATATTTATTATACTTGACACTTTCAGAAAACAACCTCAGTGGGCCTTTATCTTCTCATCTGTTCCATGCTTCAATGTTAGTCGAACTTCATTTGGATCAAAATCATCTGCAAGGAGTCTTCCCTGTGGAGATTGGTCAGTTGAGGAATTTAGTGGTGTTAGACATAACAAGCAACGCGTTCTCAGGAAAGGTTCCATCTAGCCTTGCTAGTTGCATTGGCCTTCTTGAACTTCAAATGGGAGAAAACTTCTTTACTGGTTCGATTCCTCAATCTTTCAAGTCTCTAACTAGTATCAAGTACTTGAATTTATCTCATAACAGACTGTCAGGCCAAATTCCGGATTTCTTGTCTAATTTTTCATTACTAGGATTAGATGTATCTTTTAATAATTTAGAGGGAGAGGTTCCGAGAAGAGGAGTTTTCACAAATATAAGTGCTGTGACAACTTTGGGAAATAAAAAGCTTTGTGGAGGGATTCCTGAGATTCATTTGCCAAAATGTTCAACCAATACTACCTTGGCAAGAGGGTCTAAAAGGAGGGGTAGACTCTCTGTTGCTGTGACCCTGATTATCGCGGTAGCTTCATTAGTTGTTGGTGTGTCGATAATCTCAGCAATATATTTCCTGATGTGTATTAGGAATAAAAAGAACAAGCTATCTCAGGGATCATTGTTGAACTTGAAGGAGCCTTTCTCAAAAGTATCTTATAATATGCTTCTGAAGGCAACTGACAGATTTTCGGAAGCAAACTTAATAGGTGCAGGCGGTTTTGGTTCTGTTTATAAAGGAGTCCTTGATCCAGAAAACAGCATGGTTGTAGCCATTAAGGTTATCAGCCTTGAACAGAAAGGAGCGAGGAAGAGTTTCATGGCAGAGTGTGAAGCATTGAAAAATATCCGTCATAGGAACCTGCTTAAGATTGTCACTGCTTGCTCGAGTACTGACTTCCAAGGGAATGATTTTAAGGCATTAATTTACGAGTTCATGCCAAATGGAAACCTTAGACAATGGATTCATATTGAACAACATACAAAACCTCTAAGCCTCCTCCAAAGATTGAAAATTGCCATCGATGTTGCTTGTGCACTTGATTATCTGCACAACAGTTGTGATGTTCCTATAATCCATTGTGACCTCAAACCAAGCAACATTCTTCTTGACAGTGACATGGTTGCCCATGTTGGAGACTTCGGGTTAGCTACATTTCACTCGGACGCAAGGACTTATAATAGCAATTCAGTTGCAGTTAAAGGGACAATTGGATATGCTGCTCCAGGTAACTACACTACTTCTTTTAAGGCCATTCTGTTTAATTTACGCGAAAAAAGAGTTTTGATGTGCAAATTACTTCACTAGAGTAAAAATCAGTAAAGGAAAACTTAGCATTTTTCATAAGTTATTATTATCATTTTTACTGATCTGACTTTTGAAACATTCTGCTTTGGATAGAGTACGGCCTAGGAAGTGTGGTATCAAAGGAAGGTGACATGTACAGCTATGGCATCGTGTTGATAGAGATGATGAGCACTATATATCCCACAAATAGGATGTTCGAGGGAGATTTAGACCTTCATAAGTATGCAAAATCAGCATTGTCTGACCAATTAACAGAGATTATCGACCCAAAGCTTTTTGATGATAATGTTGTTGCAAGCAGTGGAAGTCAATATGTAGCTTTGGCACGATATGACTGTTATGTTAAATGTGTATGGTCTGTCATTGACATCGGCGTGAAGTGTTCTGTGGAATCACCTCAAGATCGAATGAGAATCGAGGATACCATTAGAGGGCTAAAAATAACACAGGAGATGTTCCTAAAAGAGCTAAGCGTCGTTGAAGCAATGCATTTTTAAGGTTTCTATGCTGCACTTGTTGAAATTTTAGGCTCTTACAGTCTGCAGGAATATGTGCTAGGTAGCTGAAAGATATGAGGCTCTTACATACAAAAATGTTAAAATAGAATTATGTGGAGATATGATAATTATGTTATGTTATGATTTGCAT